AAAGGATTGAGGCCTCTCAGCACTTTGGGACTCTGGGAGCTCCAAAACACTGAGAGGCCTCAATCTTGAGCATTTTCGGGACGCCGCTCCATTCCGCTACCACCCGCCCCGACCCACCCTTGCGTCTCAAAAGGGGCAAAAGGGTAGGTCAATGGGGGGGGGTACCATATATATATATATTCATCAGATGAAAGCAATGACAGATGGGACCTCGGCCACTTCGCTGCTGCCGAGCGGCCTCCAACCGAGGAGCTGGCAGCACTGTCCTTGACCTTCGGAACCGCTGAGCGAGTCACGGGGGTGGGGGGGTGCATGAAGGGGTTTTCATATATATATATATGTATATATATATATGTATATATATATATATAGATATATAATCTGTAGATGTTTGTTTATATTTATATAGCTTTTGCAAGTATTTATGAACATAGAGAGAGGTAGCTTGAGTGGAAGGGTGGAGGTTTTGGATTTGTCGGTTAAAGGGATAAGCTTGATGTTTCTTGGAGGGGCTTGGTCTTGACGGGAGGGTGAGCAGAGGGGTCGAGAGAGCTCCTTGACGGGAGGGCTGTTCATGGATGCGCCCGATCACAAGCACGTTCAATAGCACGTGAGTGGGACAGACTGGTGGCATGTCCTCTCTGGAAACGCTGCCGTTTCAGAACTGCCCATGAACCACTTAGTGGAGAGGCTTGACTCTGGTGGCAGCAGAGCATTTGACAGCTGTTTGGCAACCTAGGCAGTTTAGGATCCCGGAGAAGTCATGTTGGCCGTGCCAAAAGAAGTGAGCGGCGAAGCCAAAAGCACACCGAGATGCAGCGCATGAAGAGCGCCGACATGTAAGAGCTTTAAATGGCAGACTACTAGTGATCATGTCTAAGGCTCAGCAGATGCAAGTTGACATGAAAGCTAGCTTAAGTGTGCGGAGTCCTCGTCCCAATATCAGTCCAGGTCCAACTAACGAGAGGGCTGCTGCCGCCCTTTTTCTCACCCCTGGATCCGCTTTCCCCGGCCATGGGAGCTAACCAAAGTGCAGAAGAAGAGCCTGCGGCTCAGACAGCGTGAGGGATCATTAGTATGAAGTTGCTGATGTCCTTCGAGCTGCGGCCGCTCTTACTCCTTTCCTTTCTGCCAAGTGATGGAGACGTAGCCACATTCAGCCCTCTGGCACGGCAAAGACTCGCTCGCCCAGGATGACAGACACATCTGCCAAATTGAACCCGTATCAGGCGGTACGGTTTACAGTAGGATGGTTTAGGGTTGATGATTTCTTGGGCCCGAGCGCGTTGCATCTGAATGTTCGATTGCTTTGGCAACTCCTGCGCTTGGTTTGATAGATGAGGCTCAGATATTTCTGCAGGAACTGTCCACAATGATTTTTCCGAGGCTTGGCGCCTCTTCCATAGTATAGTGCCAGGGTGGACCGCGACACGGGTTGACTGCAAGGCCTTGTCCCAACGACCCTTGCTGGTACCAACTCAGGGTCGAACCCTCAATGGGCCAAAGCAGGCAAGCTTCGAGCAGCCTATTGATTCCAACTCGAAGAAGGCCCTTGGGGCCTTGCTTGCAGGTTCGTAGGCTCCTTCGTCCTTTCGAATCTGTCATGCACCAGTTTGGTCGGCGAGTAACCAGGTAATGTAACTAGTCCCTTCCCCATGCATTTTCCGGAAAGTTCGCCTGAGATCATCACCGCCTTTTGATTCACATTTTGGGCTCGGGGGTTTGGGAGTTGCAATTACGTCCCGAATCTTTAAGGATCTTGGAGTTGTAGCCACATGGTCGTTGCATCCTGAAATTTGGGATGACCAGTTGATCAGTTTTTGCAATCTGGGGTAGCCGTGTGGCACGAGTCCACAGCACAGTCGGCGCCTCGGTTCCTGGCATATGCATAGTCCAGGTGTAAAAAGAGCAAGAGCAGGATCCCCCAAAATGACCGTCGAGACAAAGCCCCCTACTTAAACACACTGCCCGAGTTTTTGTAGAGGGGGCCCCTACGTTGAACATTAGGGGGAAGGGATTATTGACAAGCCCTTGCAGCAGAAGACCAGTTGCTAAGATGCCAAGAGCCCTGCGATGTCTTCTGACATCCAGCCTGACATGACATTTGCCGTGTGTGCCAGGAGAGCAAGCCAGGGCCTAGGCCGTCCCCGATGGCTGCTCGGGTCGAACTTGGATGTTGTCACAGCTAGCAGATTTTGACACCAAGACTGAAGTCTTCTGTCAGCTAGCCGCAGCTAGCGGCTTTTGCTATGCTGCCACATGCATGGAAGGGAATGGTTGAAGTTACATCTTGATTGTCCTGCTTCTCCCCATGCATTGGCATAGACTCTGCCAAGGGCGACTTTCGAAGCATGCCAGCTGAAGCATGGAACCAGGTGCACGCAAGATTTGAGGCCAGCATGATTTATTCTTATTCATTTCTACATGACGGCAGTCAAATCGGCTTGATTGGATATGTGCTGGCTTCGGTGTCTGCCCTGCAATCCAACGTCTGCGGGTGCGACATGTTTAGAGGATCTTGGGTTGAGAACCCAGGTGGGAGTCCTGTTCGATGATGCCATGCTTAGTACAGTACGATAGCCACTGCCCACGTACAACATTGCTCATCAGACTTTACCCACTACTTGCTCGAGCCCGCGTGCGAGAGACAGAAAGACAGTCGTGACAATGAAAGTAGCAACTAGCAAGAGGGCGAATCTCATGCATCAGACGAAACAAGCAAGGATCAGCAGTAGCAGAAGACCCCAAGAATGTACCTGGGCAGGCATCCCGTGGAAAAGCAGAGAAAGACGCCTGGCAAGCGTTAACGGTTCTCAGAGATTTGAGGGTTGAGTCATTTGGCATTCAGGATTTGTGTAGCGTTTGAATCGCATCAGGGGTTAAAGAGATTTAGTCGGGTTTGGATTCGGGTTATGGTCCTGCGGTAAATGTCCAGGGTTTTTACAAACTCCACAGTTCATTGGTTCTGCAGCTCCAAGTGCTCTCGGACTTCAGGTGACAAGTCTCCGTGCCTCCGCACCTGAATGGACACCATGGTCAGCTGCGGGTCATGAGATCCTCGGCAAGCAAAAGTACCATTTGCAGTACCTGATAGTATCGAGATCAGACTAGTTATGGTTGCAGCGCGCTGAGGATACCTGCCCCATACCATCCGCCGCTGGACGCGCAGTGGCATCGCGCTTACTTCCAGAGAGTTTGCAACCCCAGTGTCCCTCCGCTCCCAAAACCTTCGACCGAGGTCCGTACCTCTTCCACGCCAAGTGTCGATCTTCGGCAGGGAAAGGCTTTTTGGGCTTGCCTCGCAGCTCCTGAGAAAGAACCCGGGTCTGGGTAGTTCCCTGCGTCGCCGGAAGTGACCTAAAAGGTACCCAAGTTGTGTGATTTTGATTTGGGGTGCTTGCTGCTGCCTGCTGTTGGTGCCACAGCTCGGGAGTTGAGTGTAGGTTGTGAGCACAGCAAAGACCTTCTAAGGACGGGTGGGCAATCGACAGGAGGCCATGGGTCATTGGGCCCTGGCCTGCGGGGTTTGCGGACACTTGAGTTACAGACTTGGGTGGCCAGAACTTCTCTGTCAGGAGGCTCTTCCACATCTTTGGACTGTAGATGTGGGCGCGTAAATTGAATGCGGCCAAAAGCCCGTCCCAAACTTGATCGCTCCTACTTTTGCTGATGCTTTGCGTCTCTGTCTGGCATGTATTTGTATGACTGTTTACATGAAAACTGAATATAAGCATTACACAATGCTACATATAAACTCATACTCACGAAGGCATAGATTCATAGAATTTGGCGAACTTGCCAGTGTATGAGCGTTGAAAAGCAGAGGTGGATTGGAATATTGAAATGAAAATACGCACATCGCCGTTGAATGGTGATGAGATTTTCAAACTTCAGTTGGAAATGTCAGGTGCCCAGTGCCATACTCCAGAAGCCGGATCACGGCGCCCTTCTTATACGCCATACGGTGACCAAGCTGCAGTTTTAATTTGTCGGTTGCTCAACCAAGGCTCGAGGGGTTTTGGTTGAGGGAGGGCATGAGAAGTCTTGTGAGAAGTGCCTTTTGCGTGGCCCAAGGCCCATATGGCGCACCTGCAGCGCCCGCAGTTCCTGGATACACCGGCGATGTATATCAGCAGTCTGGCACCAAGCAAGTGGACGACTGAAAATCAACAAGCCCCGCGATCGAAGGTCCCTGTCCTGTTTCTCGGCGCGCGCGCGCGGGTGTGTGTGTGTGTGTGTGTTCTCGGCAAGGCGCGTCATGATGGAGAAGGCATTCTACGATGGCTGGGCCGATGCGGCAGCAGCAGCCGCAAGGGCGGCAGCTGCTGCAGGGCAGGATTCCTAGAACTCGAGTGGTGGGTACTGGAGTGGGAAGACAGAGGGCTTTCAAGACATCAGACTTTGCCAGCATTCGCTTGTGGGGGTCTTTGGCCCAGGCAGTCTTAGTTCAGGAATCTGTAGACTTCAGGGGACAATTGTTTTTTCGACCTACCAGGCTCTTTGCCTGGCGCCGAAAGCAGAACACGAAGCAAATCTGGCACAAGCATGAAAAGACCTTAGTTATCAAGTCTTCTACAGCATTAGCTTTGGGATGGCTAACCCAAGACCCTGCGCTGTGAGGTCAGCCACCAGTATCCCACCTTCGCCACCACCTACGCCAGCTGCACAGGCATCATCATGCTGCCAAGTCGCCGAATTGGGGACGGTTCGGGATGAGCGGTGATGGTTGTGTTATGGGCGTGTAAGCAGCAGTACCCGCGCCACAGCTTTGGTATCTCCTGGCCACGGGCATCTGTGAGGCATGCACGAACCCCAGCTCCCCGCAACACGTGTGATCGCTGAACAGGTGGCGACAGTGGCGCCACCGGCCACTCAGCTGCAGCATGGGCATTCTCGGTCATTAAGTTTCTTCGACAGGTTTGGGTCAGGAGGATGTGATGCCAAGACCTGCATAGCAAACCGGACATACAAAATGCAGGTGGTTGGAGGCGTGGCTGCATCTCTGGCTGTGGGCATCTTAGTCTTTCAGAGTGTGCTCAGGATCGGCCGAAGCCCCAGCTCGTGAAATACTTCCATGGCTCCTGGCCAAGGCCCATGTTCAGGCGATGCCACCCAGCCCTGCCGCGCAGGCAGCTGACATGGCATGATATGCCATGTGTTGCGTTGGTGCTAGCAGCTGAGAAACGCGGGCAGCTCCCTGTATCGATCTTCTGATTGTGCCCCGGGTCGGGCCTGCCGGTATGTGAGATCCCTGAAGAGACGCTGCTTTTCGTTTCCTCACAAGGCAGCCACAGCCCAGCCGCTGAGCCCCGCGGCACAGGCAGCGGCAGTCCAGGAGCCCTTCTAACCTTCCAGGGCTATGCTGTAGTAAAGGTTCGTTTGATGGTGCTTCTAATGTACTCATGTCGTGGAGCAGGCGGATCTGAGCCGGCGCTCGTTATCGACGAAATAAGCCTGGTAGGGGTTATGGAAGCCCAAATCCTTGCTTGGGACTCTGAACATGCGCCCGGACATCAGAATCCTGCGGTGCTTCCACAGACAATGGACTTCGTCTTTCTCATTGGGTTAATTGCACTTCATGTCGTCCTCATTTTCCCGTAGATGCAGTGGACCTGACCTCGAGTCTTGAGAAGGCTCTGCCCTCACCCGGCTAGAACAAGGCCGCATCCCCACACCCTCCAGAACCCCGCTATATCAAGGATTACCAACTAGCAGAGCTGCTAATCACTGCTCCGCAACTATGCTTGGCTCTTTGTCCCTAAGCCTTCCCCAGTGTTTCAACTCCGGGTGTAGGTGTCACCTCCAAACCGACCTTGCACCAAGAACCTAACCTGAGTTGCCCGAGCGGGAGCGCTGAAACCATCCCCTATTAGCTTCAGCTTTCGGGTTTTTGTACCCAAAGCATGCAATTTCTCGGAGAAAAGGACAGCCAGGCAGCCAGGCGAAACCCTGACTAACCTGACATGCGCTCTGGTTGGAGGTCCCTGGCATTCAGCCGATAAGCCCGGCCTTATCGGGCTCCCAGCTCCAGATGCCCAACACGCCCGTGGCCCCGGGTTGTGAGGGCTCTTCAGTTTGGTAGACTCTGCAGAAGCAAGGGTTGCCTGTGATTCTTGGACTTGCCGTCACCCGTGCATGGTGCTGTCTCGTCTTCAGCGTAGAGCAGCAGGGAGGTGGCGAGTCGCGCCCTGGTGTTTCTTGCTCTCTTAGATGCAGATATAGGTTAGTTAGAGGTAGATGGATGCAGATCTATTGCGTTGTAAGGCTTGAAGGTTTGGCAGGCCATCAAGCGCTTTCATTCTGTTTATCCGCATGGCCCAGGCGGCCTACAGAGCATCGTGAGTTAGCATCTACCCCAAGTTGGGCCATTTCTATGCAAAGTGGCGTCGAGCCCCGAATCTGCTGAAGATGGAGTAGTTCCTGTGTCTGAGGCCGTCGCAAGCCAGCACTGGAGAGCATGTGCGGGGCGCTTACTTGCATACTTACTCCGCACTTCCGGGATTGTGTCGGGGCCGCATGCATCTGGTATCATGCATTTGTATGTGTGTATGCATGTGCGCACTTGTGAGAGCTTGTCCAGGCCGTTGGACCAACTTCAGTGGCAGAGAGTGGAGGTTCCAGCTGTGCAGGCTGGAGCTGTGCCGGCTTGGGGCCAGAAGCAGGTGAGATTTGGGTAAGGATTTATGGCTTACGGTTTAGGCCGTAACTCGAAAGAATGACTCCCAGCACGAGTTTAGCGTCTTAGAGTTCGAAACTTCGTTGTCAGCCGAAGCTGATTACCACAGCCCCGAGCAGAGACGAGAACGGAGGCAGCACAAAAGCAGTACAAGAGCGCAGCAAACTGAAATGACAAGAGCTTGAGACTTTGCAGTGTCGGATGCCCAGACTGTGGGGTTCTCAACTTCAGGAAACTCCTCGAGACTTACAGGTGCCATCTCAACATCTGCTGCCCCGCTGCCGTCCTTGAAGCCCCAAAACGACGACTCTACTGGTAGCATCATCGCGATCATATGGGTCAGGATGGGATCTTGTCAAGGTATCCATCCTTTAGATCCTTTGAAGGGGTTTGGGTAGGAGACCCTGTCAAACCCCTTAGCCCGCTGGCCAGATCGCACCACCGAAGATTGGGCCACCAGCGGGGCCGGTAGCCATCTCGAATTCGGAGAGCCCGCGATCCAGCATTTTAAAGCTCCTCGGTGGTGCAAAGACTTGCGCAAAGAACCTGCGTCGCGCTCCAAACTCTACGGCCTTTCGGAGTTGAGGTGCTGAGTCGTACGAGTCGTACTACTATGTTTAGGCATAGTTCTAGACTAGTTCCTGAAGTGTTGACCTGTCACTTTTTCGTTGCGCCATCTCGCCGTCGTTTGAATTGCAAGCTGTTGCTTTCTCCGAGATGGCTCTTCATGCAGCATGCACTTGCTGTGGTGTTCTGGGCAGGCATCCAAACTGTCACTCCGTGTGGTTGGCTGGAGACTGCTTACTCAAAAGTTCCCGGAAGTGAGAATTTTTTCAAGCTTTACTCAGGCCTCGTGATTGGGCTTTAATGAGTCCCCCGTTTCCTGATCCCACGTGCACACCCTTTGAAGGAGATGAGATGTTGAAGCCAGACATTGTCACCGCATTCAGAGCTTTCCTCGGTTTCTGTAGCCCCAATGTCAACAAACCCAGTCCTGTCCTCATTCTTATCATGACATATCATGACCTTCACTGCATTGCTTCCGCGGTCATGTGTTCTCCACGTTGAGTAGTCAAGCAGATGTTGATCCCGAGGCTTTGCGGGGCTTGGGGAGCCCTGGCGAAGCAGAACACTCCCAAATTGTCATTGGAACCAGGCCGGAGCCCAACATGTGTATATTGTATTACATGCACGTATCTCTCTTGTCCAACATGTATGTCGTATGTTGTGCGCAGGCACCATTTTTACATTGCAGTTTATGCCTATGCGCAAGGTGCGGCGGATATACACCATGCACATACGCATGTCCATATGCCTCATGCTTGCACGCATGCAGTGCAGTGCATGCACACGGGCGGGCGGTCAGGCAGGTAGGGAGGGAGGGGGAGCTACGTAGGCGCGTCGGTAGGGATGCATGTAATGCTCATAGTAACATGGTAATTACAGGCAGGTTTTCGTTCTGGAACCGAACCTGGTTTGCTATTACATCTCTTGCAATGCGTAATTTGAGCACAAAAAGATGCCGCTCACCTGTCGAGAGAGGGGCCTGATGGTTCAGCGCTTAAAGTTTCAGCTCCTCGGCATCAGGATCCCGGAACCAGTGTTATGCGATAGGAACCGAATGGCCAGAAAGCCCTCACTTGCTGTGCTCCTGTAGAGATTGAGGATGGAACCGGATTCAGCCTTTGTGGGCCAGGTAGGTTCTTGAAGGAAAGATCTGCAGCGTCTGCCTGTATTACTGTATGCAGAGGCCACGCCAAACAACGTGCAGAGTTGCTCCACTATCGGCGAGCTCTTGGCGCCACCGCCCCACCTCAGGAGGTGGCTGCTTGGCAGCATTTGCCACACCGAAGCCGTTCTGTAAAGTCTTCACATCAACCCCAGACCACATCCCTTGTCAAAGCCACCATCCAACAGGGAAGTCATCACGGCTGGTTTTGATGCTAGCCTCTTTGAAGTACGAGATGGGATCTATCATATCTCTCCAAGTCGAGGGGCGGAGTTGAGTTGAGCTGGCCTTTGGTCTCTGTACACCAGTTGTTATGATGGCATTACCATAGGGACCAGTCATGCTGCCAATGTCGCGACAAGCCCATGCAGTGCATTGAGACAAGAGGAGCAAGCAGGAGACTAAGGCCAATGAAGGACAGGCCTGGGAGCACAAGATGGGTGCTATGGATTTGTCAATCACTCGGCATGGCCCTCGGCTCACCCATTAAGTTATTTGCGGGCTCAGGCAACGCTGACGTGTGCCCGAGTGTGAGCAAGTCAGGAAGGCCCAGAAGAAGCGTGGCAGCAAGTCGTTCTAGCTCCAAGTTCTTGTGACGCTTTTTGCTCCACCGGTGAAGCCTGGAAATCAGGACTGTGAGCACAGCTGGATTTGGGAATGCTGTGGCATCAGCTGAGCGACGCCGTAGAGGACATCGGTGCTGCTGCCCTACTCATCTTCCAGCTTTCGCAAAGTATAATAAAGGCTGGCAACATGTTCAGGGTGGGGTCCCGCAACAGTCAGCTGATAAGTTTACAGCTGCAACCCGAAGGGTATTCTCAGGCCGAGCATTGCCATGAATGTAGGTTATCTTCACAAACTAGCAGTGCGGAGTCACACACACACAATGAAGCAAGGCAAAAGATAAGTAGACAGAAGGCTAGCGCATCGAGTTTTCCAAAGGGTCTGCAGCTGGAAGATGGAAGAGCGAGCAGCACCAAGAAGAGGGGTTCATTTACCTAAAGCTGGTTTGCGGTGGGCAGCATTAAGCGGATTGTAATGGGTCATGGAAATGAATTAGTTACGAGTTCAGGCAAGTTCGGTGCAGGTTTCTGGCAAGAAGCAACGATTCGCAGGGCGCAGATGTCCAGCCCTTGTTTCCTGCAGTCTTAGGGTACTCAACAACCTCAACAGCATGGGCTCGGATGTCTGCAGAGCCCGCAGCCACGGGGCTGTTTGCCTTGCAAGCTATAAGGCAAGCACGGATGGCAGGGAAGGGTCCCCAGAGGTTTCTAGGCCTGAAAAGACTTGGTTTTGCAGAGAGCGGTGCTTTCCCCGACCTCCGAGCAAGCGCGAGCCGCGACGGTTCCATGTGAAAGGGACGGCTGCGCCGGGTGGGTGGGGCTGGAAACCAGGTAACGCAGCACCTTTGAGGAACGGCATCACATGGCTGCTTTCCATTATTAGTTATGCACAATGACAAGCCGCGAACCTTAATTCATCCTAACACCGCACGACTGCAGTCAGTTCCTTTCGCAAGCTCTCACGCCATGAAGACAAGGCAAACTTTGGCAGAGGTATTAAAGAAGATTTCAGGCCGAGCAAGACTTCAGAAAACAATGGCTGCAACAACTGTCCGATGGCGTGATCTCTCCGAGCCCTGGGGTAGCTACTTTAAAAGATCCGACAATGGCTTTTTGCCGGTTTTGATCGGATGACTGCGATGGTCAGGAGCTACAAAGCCGAGGAAGACTAGATAAAGAGGCATCAAGTGGGCTTGCGGTGTTGGGATAGCAGTCATGTAGGACGGACCATACAAGCCTGAACCCTGAATTTGTTGCAGGTCCGAGGTGCAACAATCAGCAATGTGACTTCTTTTCAAATTGCCCTTTCTTACGTGAACGAAACCCTATGCCTTAATACGTACGCACTTGTATTCGGCAGTTTGGAGAAGCGGCCAGGTTCGTCCAGTCTCAGCCTATGGCTCTGCAGTCCCGAGATCCTGTTTGGGTGCATATTGCTTCTTCGTCGTGTCAGCAAATGCACTTTGTGTTGGAACTGTGAGTTTTCTCGGTTTCAACAAGAAATCCATCTTCCTCAGAGACCGGCCGGGATCCAGGTCCTAAGCCCTAAACCACAAGGGCCCATGCCCCTAAGCTCGAATGTCCTGGACCTCGGGAACTGCAGACCAGCCCGTTCGCGGCTGCATGGCAAGCAGGGGGTTGGCGGCCCTGTACCGGGCATGAGAAAAGCAACGACCGGTGCATAATAGACACTAGCAGTAGCACATGATAGCACATGCATGTGCATGGCTTAGATGCTCTGGACTGTTCTGCCTGCGTGGTGGTCTCGTGGACCGTGCAGCCGCCTCGCAAACCAGAGCTCTCACACAGCACGCCACCCACGAAGATGGAATCCAACCGTGATTCAATTTTGGATGTGCTGACGGATTCCATGTTCGCTTGGGGCATGTAGGTATCTGCTGTATTGATACCAGAAGACTTTGTCTCAACCTCGATTCAACAAAAGTCGCCGCAGGGGTGTCTCGACCATGTCCATGAACACTTGCAAGAAGCGTACGTGACCTTTAGTTCTGGGTTAGAGTCACTCTGGTAGATTTGTGCTCAGCATGCTGTGGTTGCAGTTCCAGCGAATTCAGCAGGGCATTGCGAGAGGTTCTGAAGCAGAGATGCCTAGGCCATGCAACTTGACCCCCCAACAACAGCATGCCGTTTAGCTAAGGAGATGAGTCCATCCTCTTTGGGTTTGACCTCTGAGGACAAGGACACAGCGGCGCAGGGAGGTCGGAGCGTGAGGTGTTTGCTACTGAGTCTGGTGTCAGTGCAGTTAGTTGTGTGGCCCCCGTCCTGATCATATCGTCACCACAAAAGAGGACGGAAGCACTGCATTCCAAATGTCTTCCACCATGGGGTGATGGCATCGCTGAGCCTGCCATACCTCTGCTTGTAAGTTGGTAAGCTCCATCCAGTCCACATTAGACAGGGATCTGGCAGGACAACCCGCTGTACATGTACTGTGCTCGCCCCGGCATGCACCAAGAGCAGACACCTGCTTCCTTGTTGACACCGCACCCGCAGACATTCCACACAAAGCCTCTATGCCGAATCAGCTGAACTCAGTCCAGGCACTGGTGGAATCCGCTGCGAGTTCTTCGGTGCTGCCTTACGAAAGCAAGGCCAAGCTCCAAGCTGCCATTTTGCTTCTGCAAAGCCCGGGTCTGTGCATCAGAGCAGGGCTGCTGGCATCCGTTGTAGCTAAGGCTTTCACCAAGCGCGGCAACCCAGCAGGAGACTGTTGTGGTGATTGCAGTTTGGTTCTTGCAGGAGATCGAGTCCAGCTCTGCAAGCATGCCTTCATTCATTGTTGGGCTTCATGTGTTCCAAGGTTTACAAGCTGAAGGGCGGAGTGCAGCATTATGGAAACACTGTCGGTGATGAGGGCTGGAAGGCCAGCCTGTGCTGTTGCAGTGTGATTCGTTTGCAGCCAGCTAGCTGGGTGTTCGGTTTTTCCGCGCCACGATGTCGGTCGGCACCGACTCCAAGCCCGTGCCACAGGGCCGCCTTTTTGTCTTCGACCGCCGGAACTCCGTGGCCGTCGGAGACGAAGGTGCTTCGCCCCGCATTGTGCAGGGCCGGTTTGAAAAACTGCATCTTGGGGTGTGGCCCGATCGTCATCCGAAAGAGAGCCGCTGTTGCATGTCCGACCGATTCAACAAGCCCAAGACACACACACACACACACACGCACGCACATGCACCTCGGGCTTAATCATTCTGGAAGAAGAGGGATGATGATCAGTAGGAGCTTGCTTGGGTGTTTTGGCAAAAGCGGCAGTCGGTCCCAGGCGTACAGCTGTAGCATCAGATAGTATTGTGTTGTTTGGCTACACAAACCAGATCATAATGCAAAAAGACCCAACGAAAGCGGGTATATCGTTTGGCTGCCTAATTGGCATGATGTGTCTTCCAAATAAATCTATCACTAGTCTATCTGGTCAGGTTTGAGCCCGGTGACGGCTGGGTATGTGTGTATAATAACTGTGTATACATACACACACACAAATGTATATATATATATATTTATTTATTTATTTGTTTATTTATTCAAGTATATATCTTTATCTGTATGTGCGCATAGATGTGCACATACATATATATGTACACACACATATATATATACACACACACGTTTGCCCGTCCATCTATCTATCTAGAAAGATATAGGTACGTATTTAGATGTAGCCGGACATATAGACCGAGACTCAGCCACATACAGTGTGAGATGATGACATAGGCTGGACATAGGCACTCGTTCGGGCTGTTGAGCTGGGGTGTCCTATCCATATCCTTAACCGGTTGCGGCGGTCTAG